CATAAAGAAAGATGGAGACTTTACGTCCTTCATGTTCACATGGATGGAGCTGGAAAATGTTCTTCTTAGCAAAGTATCACAAGAATGAAAGAAAAAGTATCCAATGTACACACCCCTGTTATGAAATTAATTTATACCCTTCATATGAAAGCTATAACCTAATAACAGCCTAAGAATACGGGGAGGGGGAGGGGGAGGAGGATTGGAGGGATCACTTCTGTGTTTTATCTTGCAAGGGTACAAGTGAATCTTTCTAAGAGTAGAATGTGAACGTTTTAACACAATAAGAAAATGACATGAAGGCTATGTTAACCAGCTTGATGGAAATGTTTCAAATTGTATGTGAAAACACCACACTGTACCCAAGAAGTGCATTAATGTACATTGTTACCATTCAATAAAAAAAAAGTTCATACAAAAAAAAAAAGAAGAAGAAAAGAAAAAAGAAGTAAACAATGTAAAACAATATGTGTATGCTGCAATATATTTCCTGGACACAATGTGGTGCTATGGCAGTAGGATACAGAAAACACATGCTTCATTTGCTGTGCACAGTAGACCACTTGCTAGTTGAAAAGGAGATTGGGCCTTGTCTTCCTGACTTCTTGGCCCTCAATCTAGACCTGTTAGTTTCCTCAAAATTCAGTCCCTGGGGTCCTGAAGCTCTTGCCAGACTTCCCAGGAGGCCCATCAGACAGTGTCCCCTGACAACAAAGTAGCCGGCCTAGGGGGTGCAAACCAGTCAGTTCACTCCAAGGTTGTCCACTCATAGTCAGCAGACACAGCCATGCACTAGGACCCCACAGACTGTTCTTCCCACGCCCATAGCTTTCCCACAAGGGTGACACCCTGCCAGCAGTGGGAAAACCACCAAAAGCCTGGTATTCAACCCCAGCCGCCAGATGCTGTTTGAGTCTAACTCACTTCTCCAGCAAGCAGCCCCGTCCAAAATCAAAATATGACTTTTCTTTTCCATCCCCAGACCTCTGTGGGAGAGTTGGCCACTAGCCAGCCTCTGCCCATACCAAGCACTTATCTTCTGTGTTGGTTTTCCTCAGCTCCAGACCTCTTCTTTGGCTCCTGAAGTCTCCTGCTGCTTCACTGTGCCCCCAGAGTGATCTTTCTGTGCAGATTCTCCCTGCCAGAGGTGACTGAAGTCCACTTTCATATATCTACCATGAGTAGACAGCAAGATGTCTCTAGTACACCGTCTTGCTCCACCCTATCTATCATCTTTTTTATTTTTAATAATGACCATTCTAATTGAAGTAAGATGGTATCGCATTATGGTTTTAATTCTGCATTTCCCTGATGATTAGTCATGTTGAGTGTGTTTTTCACATGTTTGTTGGCCATTTATCTCCTTTCAAAAAATGCTTGTTTGTGTCATTTGCCCACTTTTGAATGGAGTTGTTTTGTTTTTCTTGTTGAGTTGTTTGAGTTTGTTGTGGATTCCCAGATTCTCAGTCTATTTACTCCTATGATTTTTCTTTTGCTATGCAGAAGATTTTAGTTTAATCAAGTCTCATTAATTTAACTTCCTCTTTTATAATTTCGATGCCCTTTATTTTTCTTGCCTGATTACTCTAATTATGATTTCTAATAGTATGATATTGAGTAGAAGTAGTAAATCTTAAATATGTTGGTCAGTGTGTCTTCTCCACTGTACAGAGTAACAGAGTCTCTCACTAGATTCTTACTCTCTAAATTTTTTTCTCCCAGCCCCCTTCCTGCTGTTTATAAAACATTTTCCAAAGTATGGTCCTCAAACTAACATTTCTGAGGACTTAATAGTTGTCACTCAAAAACAAAGGGGGGATCTCATGGTATACAAAAGCAGTAAGTTAAATAAAGGTAAATGGGGGTCTTTCCTATAAGACCTAAAAAACTCTTCATTCACTGAACTCTCTCCAGTGTTGTATAAGATATACTTTGGAAAACACTGCACTGTGTTGTATAGGATATACTTTGGAAAACACTGCATCAATCCATTCTTTTTCTCACTAGATATGATACGGTTGATTAAGCAATAACTCTAGAAATGTTATGGAAGTTACATTTTTCTGAATTGACAACCTGGTCCGTGTTAGAAATGTGTGGTAGAAGGTATTGTTTTAAGAGGATAGGCTTTAATAACTGACCTCACTCTGTCACTTTCTCACTTTTAGTGATCTGGGCAACTTATTTAACGTTTCTGAGCTTAAATTTCACCCTTCATAAAGTGGGATGAAGAATTCTCCCTGCTTTATTAATCTGACCACTTCTCACTCTGCCTCCCACTGGGACCAACCTGCTCCAATCCACCATCATCTCTCACATGTTAACCAGCCTCCCTGCCGCCATCTTGTTCCCCTCGTCTCTGCCCAGGCTTTTCTCATACTAGCCCCTACAGAGGTCCAATTTAAAAAGATCACATCACTCCTCTCCTCAAGTTCCTCTATTAGCTTCTTACTCACTCAGGATAAAAACCAATCTTTACAATGACCTAGTGGCAAATCAAAATGTCTACTATTTGGCATTTCTTTTTATTCTGCCTTTATTTGTAAACCAAATACAATGGCTTGGCCATAATTTATGATTGTATTTTTTAATTCATAAGTAGAAACTGTATTCAGATAATATAATATATGAGAATCTACTTTGTGTACAAAGCTGAGTAACACTAAAAATTAATCTTGTTGACCAGAATGAACAAGAGTGAGACCCTGTCTCAACTGAAAATAGAAAAGCTACTCAGGCAACGTGATGGATGCCTGTAATCCCAGCTATTCAGGAGGCTGAGGCAAAAAGCTTGCTCAAACCCAGGAGTTGGAGGTTGCTGTGAGCTACAACACCATGGCACCCTCTCCAGGGCAACAGAGTGAGACTCTGCCTCAAAAAAATTAATACTGTTTACTTTCAGGAAAGATATTATATTTTTTGCCTTCTTAAATGAACTGGTTTTATTTTAGTTTTCTCCATATGTTCTTAGAATAACTGGTGTCTTTCTCATGTTTAGGTTATATTTGTCTACAGATATAGACAACCCCCACTTTCTTCCATCAGTTTATAACTTTGTTACTATAATCAATTTCACGGTAACATTCCAAGGTTTGCAAGATCAACTCTTGTCTACTGTGGTAACTCATGAAGTTCCTCAATTAGAAGAACAGCGCTCCCAATTATTGGAGAATATTTCCCATGATATTGTAATTCTTAATGAACTGGAGGAAAAAACATTAAGTTTACTGCAGAGAACACAAGGTAAGTCAAGATATTTAATGATATTGAGAGACATCTGTGAAAGACAGAATGAAAAGTGATAAAAAAAAAAAAAAACGCATTCTGAATTGGTACCCAAAAATACCAGATCTCCATTTCCACCAGATAAGTAATGAATATAGGTGAACCACCCCATTTCTAAGCTTAACCATTGTGAAATTTGATGTTCCTCACTTTCCACCTTCACTTTAATTCATTATTTCTTTGTACATTGCCACCATATAATCAATGTTAAGTTGTAAGGCAAAACTTACTAAGGTTGGTTAGTTCTCTGTTAGGGTTTATGCCCACACTTCAGGTACCTAACATCTGTTACGTGTCTCAAGTTAGATTCTAGAAACTGAAAGATTAGGTTTCCCCCAAGTATTAGTAACCAAAAGATCTTTCAAAAGGGAATGATGACTTTTATATATCTCATTAAAGTATGCTGTTTATTCAAATAGTTGAAGAATATGTTTTCATTTCACCACAAGAAATATCTAATAGCCCAAGAATATGAGGAACGGGGACAGGGAGAGGGGGGAAGGGGGAGAGGAAGGGTGGAGGGAGGATAATTGGTGGGACCACACCTATGGTTCATCTTACAAGGGTACATGTGAAATTTACTAAATGTAGAATATAAATGTCTTAACACAATAACTAAGAAAGTGCCATAAAGGCTATGTTAACCAGTTTAATGAAAATACTTCAAATTGTATATAAAACCAGCACATTGTACCCCATGATTGCATTGACGTACACAGCTATGATTTAATTAAAAAAATAAATAAATATCTAAGAAACCATTGTCCTGGGTAAGGGAGTGTTCCTCTTTTTTTATCTTTCTCAAAAATCAGCAGCACAGGAACTAAACTTAAATCCCTGAGTCACGCTGGTGTATGTCCCTAACTCAGTTGTGATGGTATACACTTAATCTAACAATGGACTGCCTTACTGTTTTAACTTGTGATTCATTGGAACTTTACATTTTCTCAAATACTTTAGTTCTCATTTAAGGGGATGTATAGAAATCATCTGTAACGTTTATCACTTTTTTTTTCTTTCTTTTTAAAACAAACCCAGTGGGTACCACCACAGATTTACTGAATCTGAACTTTGACAAAAGGGACTCTGGCTTGCATTTATTTTTGAAGCTGTCTACACAATTATAGTATTCACTACTTATTAAATATCATTTGTATAATCTAAAGGCTCATGGTCTGGGGTACAAGCTCAATGTTAGAAAACAGTTCAGTAAAATTAATTTAAAACTAGGTTTTAAAAAAAGGCAAAAATTTACCAATAATACTAAATAAAATATAATTTGTGAAAAGGGAAGAAACAGAAAGTTTTGATAGGGTATTAAGTAGCCATTCCCCAGAAGTAATTTTGGCCATTTTAAAATATGAAAAAAACAAGAATTAAAAATAAAACAAAGAAATACTACTCATGATGAAATCACTAAATAAGCAATCAAAATCAGAAAGTAGAAAGAAATCTGAGTGCAATCACCTCTTATTTCATGTACAGAAGTCAACCCATGATATTTAAAATTAAAATGTGTAACATCATTTTTAAAAATAAAGATTCAGTATTTTAATTGCTTTCATAATTTTTTCTCATAATTTTAGAATAATGTTTTAGGAAATAATATCCCTTGTCATCAAGAAATATTTATCTCAGCAATTCTATCAGATTCAGCCATTCTATTATTTATTTTTCTTAATTTTAGTAAAGGTAAATTTACTAGTTATTTAAAACATAGTATTTATAGTAGAAACCATTTCTCATTTAAAAAATCTATCTATCTATTGAAAAATATATCCACTTACCATTCTATCTTCATATGTGTATAGAAAGATACCCAAGATAATGCTAACCAAGTGTTAACCCAGGTACTTTGGGGGCAGGGATGTAGTGGGCCCACCTTCCACAGCCTTGGTCCACATATCCTCTTGCTCATCCTCCAGCCACCACTCACAGTTGCTAAAAGGAGGCCAAACCACCTAGAGAAGGGCCATCCCTTAAGATCATCTAGAACTGGAATCACATTCACAGTCCTGCCATAGTCTTCTTGGGAGCAGGAACATATTCTGCCAGGTAAAGTACAGGGAAGGCTCAAATTCATCACTGTACTTTAACTGGCAGATTTGTTCTTGTTCCCTGGAAGGCTAAGGAAGAACTGTGAGGCTGTTCCTCCATTTCAATTCACAATCGCCAACACATAGAATCAACCCACATGCCCATCAACCTATGAACTGATTAATAACCTGTGGTATATGTGCATCATAAAGTGCTATTCAGCCATAAAAAAGATGGAGACTTTACATCTTTTGTATTTACCTGGATGGAGTTGAGAGCATTCCTCTTAGTAAAATATCACAAGAATGGAAAAGCAAGTATCCAATATACTCAATACTAACATGAAATCAATATACAAACAATTACATGCCCACACAAGAAAAACATAGTTAATTTTAAGGGGAGGGAGGAAAGAAGGGGATTGGTAAGCTATGAGCACAATGCAAATAAAATGTGTATACAGCACACCCATTGGGTGAAGGACTCAACTACAACTTGAACTTTACCTAACAAACACAATGTAACCTAATTATTTGTACCCTCAATAATTTGTATCTGAAATAAATTTTTTCAAAATTCTAAGCCTTCCTCATGTTTTGGTTATAAATGCTCCCCACCAAAGGAATGTAGTTCTCCAGTGTTAGGTGTTTAACTTACCTTTGACATCCCTTCCCTGACAAAGTGCTACAACCAAAAGCCCTTTGCTATGAGGCTTGTGGCCAAAATAAGAATGGCTGTGATGAGGAACTCCAGTATTGCTACTCTAAGATCTGCTGAGATGTGCAGAAACACAGACTTGTTTGGCATGTTCTCAACGTCTGACAAAGAACTAATATTTTTACTGTATACATTTGCTGTACTGTTTGGGGAAATGATTATTTTTTAAGACCTTATAAGACTTCACATTTTGTGATTAAAACCTTAAACGGAAAAAAAATATTATGTAGGGAAGACATTTGGAAGAGTAAGTCTTTCCTCTCAAGTATCTTCCAGAGTGTTGCTGCCTTAGAATGCCATTGTCTTGGCCCAATTCCAAGAAGAGATATGTGTTGAATGGAGAATTGTTTAAAAGAAAGGAAATCTATAACTAAATTTTTGGCACCATACTTACAAAAAAAAAAAAGCTGAAAATTTATTTTATCTTAGAAATATAGGCAAATTTTCATTTAGAAGTATATTTGTTTACTATGGAAATTTTAAATACACATTTGTGCCTAGAATGATCTGACTTTATTCCTTTTCTGTGTTAATTACACCTAATAAGATGTTTCTTTATAACATGATCAAGCCATACTTCTATTAATGACAAGACTAGTTACATAGTCACGTTTTCTATATCTGTTTCGCTTATAAGATTAGAGCCATGAGCTGTTTAAATTGTTAGGTAGCAAAACATCCAAGCACTTATTGAAGGTGATGCAGTTGGTGTAGCAAAATTGAGAAGCACGGCCACCCCCATTTTATGAACCACTCATATAACAAACATCATATTTTGCCATAACCTTTGCCTAAAATGTGGATTTAATGAGACAAGTGAAAAGTTGTTTAAGAGCATTATATGCTTTTATTATGCTTTTGGCATTTATTTCCTATCACTTGTTGCCTGTATTAATTAATGTCTGAGATATTTTTTAAATCTTTTAAAAGACTGTGACATTTCACTAATAGTCATTTTAATAAAAGATGCTCTTGGGGGAAGCTAATTTAATAGATCTTCTTATTTCTATATATAATTTTTCAAATTTTAGCAAAACTTGCCATTTTTAGTGCCTCTTTGTAACTATATTATCCTTGGTGTGACTGACTCCTCAACCCCTGTGGGAAATAGTTTAGTAGGGTGAGTCCTGTGACCTAAGCCCACATCTTTGGTCCAAGCATTGCTTAACAAGCTTTATCTGCATCAAGTAAGAATATAGTATCCAGATTGTAGAATATTATAATCTGACTATTCCCTACAGTGGTCAGATCAAGCTGAAATATTATGTTTAGTTCTGGACGCTGTATTTTAAGAAGGCTCTTTTCAAACTAAGATGTGCCCAGAGGCAAGAATCAAAGATAGTGAGGAATCTAAAAATCGTAACATAAAAAAGGCAGTTCAGGAAAATGGGACTGTGTAGCCCATAAAATGAAAGAGTTTATAGTGGAAATTGGAGAGATGTCTTAAATATTTGGAGAGGGTAGAATTATTATCTGTGTTTTACAGAGAAATACTTTTCAAAAGATAAGTTGGAATCTATTAGTGGGTTGAGAAATTAATTCCGTTGGTCATGATCAGGTTTATTTGCTTAATAAAACAGAATAGAAGGCTCGGCGTCTGTAGCTCAACCGGCTAAAGTGCCAGCCACATACACCTAAGGTGGTGGGTCCGAATCCAGCCTGGACCTGCCAAACAACAATGATGGCTGCAACCAAAAAATAGCCGGGCCTTGTGGCGGGC